TGGCTAATTTTACATCCTCACTGACCCTTACAAGTCTGATGCTACTTCCTTAATCACTACTCTAACTTAAGCAGTGTAGGTGAAAACACTCTGGTACATATTTTTCTACTCCCTTCTACATCCTATTTGCCCATCAGCATTGCCTTCTTTACCAAAATGTGAAAAACTGCTCCACACTTGGGAGGTCTCAGTTGCTTTCTCTTTCAAATAGCTTTACCATTTACGTCAGAGGTTATCCTTGCATTTGAACTTGGCAAAATGGACGAGGGTTAAAATAACATGGGCTAGATCTCTGACGAAAACTGAGGGACTTGTATTAACTATTAAGAGCTAGTAAATACTATTACCACATTACATAAAATAATGTTGCTTATTATTAAATTATAATTATCTTACCTCTGGCCAGAAAGTACAATGAACACAAAAAGCAATTAATATCAACATTTCAGCAATAACAGGCAAACTGCACTAAAACAAATGTACTAGTTGTAAACATACACATAGGGGGAGGAGGGGAGGGAGAGAGAGCTGGGATTGACATGAGAAACAAGCTTATTTCTAACTTAAATAAAAAAAATACACATAGATGCACACACATGTACACTTATGCGGTACACTATGTAAACCACCTCAAAAGTTTGGAAATGTTATTATAAAAAAATAATGAATGCTCAACACTTAATAACCTTTCTAAGAAAATGGCACCAACGAACAATAGCTTAAATTTAACCCTAAGATACTCAATGGCTGGAGCTATTTAAAAGATAAATTGTAGCCGGGCGTTGGTGGCGCACGCCTTTAATCCCAGCACTCGGGAGGCAGAGGCAGGTGGATCTCTGTAAATTCGAGACCAGCCTGGACTACCAAGCGAGTTCCAGGACAGCCTCCAAAGCCACAGAGAAACCCTGTCTCGAAAAACCAAAAAAAAAAAAAAAAGATAAATTGTAGCTCAGTTAGTAGAGTTGCTTGCCCAGCATGAGGTCTGGCCCTCAGCAATGCATGAGCTGGGTGTGATGGTGCACACCTGTGTCCTAGCACTCAGGGGTTGAAGAAGGAGGATTAAGAAATTCTAGGTATTCAGGCATAGTAGAGCATATCTTTAATCCCAGTATAGGAGGCAGGGGCAGGCAGATCTCTGGAAGTTCCAGGCCAGTCAGGGCTATGTAGAGAGACCCTGTCTCAAAACAAAGTTCTAGGTTATCCTCAGCTGCCTAGCCAGTTAGTGATACACCAGACCTTGTCAGAAAGAGAGAGAGAGAGAGAGAGAGAGAGAGAGAGAGGGAGGGAGGGAGGGAGGGAGGGAGGGAGGGAGGGAGGGAGGGAGGGAGGGGGAAGAGAGAAATAATATACTATAACTCACTAACATTATAAAACTCAAATTGTTATAGGGTATGTTGACTGTAATAAATAAATACAACACAACAGTACTCTAACCAGGACCCTTCCAGAAGGATGAACAGGTACAGTAGTTTCTCCAAAAATATTTGAATTTACATACCTCTAGTTGGCCATATCCCATACTATTTAACTATTTACAAGTCATTCTTCAACGAAGTCTGAGTTTTTTTTTTAAATAACTAGCATATTGTCTAAGACAGAATGGTCTCTCAATAAATGTCATGTGAATAAGTGTCATATAAACCAACCCAATATCAAAATCTAGGAAAACATGCTGTATTAGCTGTATTATTTTAAATTTTATTTATGTGTATGTTTTCTCTCTCTCTCTGTCTCTCTGTCTCTCTCTGTCTCTCTGTCTGTGTGTGTGTGTGTGTGTGCGCGCGCGCGCGTGCGTGCGTGCGTGCATTTGCAAATGCTCTCAGAGAGTTCATGAAGGCCAGAAGAAGTTATCAAATCCCCTAGACCTAAAGTTATAGGCAATCGTGAGCTGTCAGACGTGGGCACTGGGAATCATTCCGGGCACTGGAACAGCAGCTGGTGCTCTTAACCTCCACTCATCTATCCAGTCTTGCTACCTCGTTTAAAGGCAGTCAAGTTAAATTAAAAAGTGTTTGACAGCAGCAAATGTTTGCTGGGGAAACAACATATGAATCATAAAGATAAGTGTAAAACTGTAGCATGAAACTAGAAATCAGCCGGGCGTTGGTGGCGCACACATTTAATCCCAGCACTGGGGAGGCAGAGGTAGTCGGATCTCTGTGAGTTCTAGACTAGCCTGGTCTACAAAGAGCTAGTTCCAGGACAGCCTCCAAAACCACAGAGAAACCCTGCCTGGGGGGGCTCTTCCACTAGGCATAATTTTATTAAAAATGTATTTAGGGCCGGGCGGTGGTGGCGCACGCCTTTAATCCCAGCACTCAGGAGGCAGAGGCAGGTGGATCTCTGTGAGTTCGAGGCCAGCCTGGTCTACAAAGTGAGTTCCAGGACAGCATCCAAAAGCCACAGAGAAACCCTGTCTCAAAAAACAAAAACAACAAAAAAAAAATGTATTTAGGCCAGTAAGTGAGTAGAATGAAATCCAAGTCCAGTATCAAACAGTGGACCCAACGGCTTCAGAGTCTTTCTTTTTAGTAATGCAGAAAATACACAGCAGCCCTCTGAACCATTGAGGAGGGCTAAAACAATTCATTTCCTCACAAGCGTGTAGTCAAAAGTAATTACTTCTGCTCCCATCCAACACAGAACCATGCTACTTTCACCCCTCTCAAAGAATGCTACATAATAGCTGAGGACTTTAATGATAGGCTTTTAGAATCTCAGATCATGACAAAAGTACAATGCAGCAGAAACACTTCTAACTATGTCCTCAACCCCCACAGTGTTCCTACACTAATTTAGCTCCCTACCAAGTATTAACAATCAAGGGATCAGAAAGTCCTCAGAACAGAAACTAAATCACCTTAAAATGAAATAAGAAAAAAAAAGACAGTTAATGAATTTCAAACTTAGAGGAAAGGGTTTTTGTCTGTGCCTGCATTTAAATGGAAATTACAAATTATCTAGCTGCAATTTTCCCTTCAAGTACTCTCAATCAAGCACACACAAGCGTAAGCGCACACACATAAACTTTCAATCAGTCTCCAAAGGTTTAAAAATAAATAACTGACCATGTTTACTTAAAAGTCTAAATGCCTAATCACTAACATATTTCAATTTTTAAAAAAATGAGGCTGCTGCTAACTCTACCCACGAATGACAGCTAGGCAGAGGCAGACTGCTCTGAAAAGATTAGGAACTTCCTGGGGGTAAAGTAAGAGGAATAAAATTACTTCAACACTAAAAATTTGCAGCCCACAGATATGTGAACTACAAAGAGATCTGAACGCAATGTATGCCTAAAAGATCAGAAGGCAGGACACCAGTTCTATACCCAAACCAACTCAAAATGACCCATTATAAAGACCTGAAAATTTTGTAAGTTTTCTGAGGTTAACCAATATGCTCAAGTTTCAAAACAGTAAAATATATTAACATGCAAGTGCATAACATTTCAAGTTGGAAAAACACAACATTAAATGACTGAAAACACTTAAAAGAGTTACTTTTTCTTTTTCCTTTTTTATTTTTGTTCTTCAAGACTAGGTTTCTCTGTATAACAGCCCTGGCTGTCCTGGCACTCACTTTGTAGACCAGATTGGCCTCAAACTCACAGAGACCCACCTGCCTCTGCCTCCCCAGTGCAGGGATTAAAGACCTGCACCCCTGTCAGGCTAAAAGTTACTTTAATGGTAAGCTTTCTAGGGACTTACTGATCATATTGACATCCCTGTAAAACACATACTATGATGATTATCTTAGCTTTACAGACCAGAGGCACCAACTGATGGCTCAAAGTAATACTGCAAGTTAGCAACTAAGAGAGGGTTTAAACTGAAGCCAGTCAAACTCTGAGGTTCAATTACCAACGCACCGTCTTGCGGTGTTACACTTTGAGCATCTTTTTAAGCCAGCAACACCAGGTCAACGCCATGCACTAAGAAAAATACGAGCTTCAGAGCCAAACAGACCTCTGAGCATCTAGGTCACAGCTTCAACATCAGTACATCAAAGGTCAAAGTGTCAAGTAAATGAAGTTTACATGGTCTAGAAGTCTCATAAGCTGCATGTCAAAGTGTGTGTACGTGCACACACACATCCACTTTCAGGAAAACTGTCCCTGGCTTTTCACACTTTCAAGGGGTAAAAGAAATCCCTCCAAATGTTTAAGAATAACTAGAATACATAGCAGGTTCTAAAAGCAAAAAAGAAAACAAAAACAAACATGTCAGAAGTTATCTTTCCCATTCTCACAAATCCTGCCTCTCCCGTCAATGCTTCATAACAAATACCAACGGTTCCCCACCATATTCGAGGCGTTGCACATACACGCTTATGCACCTGTTTTCCTTGATCATCTACAGAAGGCTTGCCGCGACTGGGCTAGCTGGCTCAGTGAATAAGTGATTGCCCGAATGTGGGCATCCAAAAACAAGCTAGGTGTACTGGCGAGTGTTTGTCACCCCAGTGCTAGGAGGCAGAGATGGGAGTATCCTGGGACTTTCTGACCAATCAATCTAGCAAAAACGCAGGGAGTTGGGAGGGGGTGTTTCAGGTTTGGTGAGGCAGTCTTAAAAAAAATTGGGGAGCAAGATAAAGAAAACCAGCTTCTTCTGGCTTCTGCTCTGAATGTCACCCGCACGCTCGTGCTTGTACACACGCGTGTACACACGCGCACACACACGATGGGTACACGCGTGTATACACACACACACGATGGGGAGGGGGTGGTCCTCAAGCGCTGTTACATCCCTCTCTTCCCAAGAATCGTCCACCCAGCCTCACGAGGTACTATGTCAGCGAGGAAAACCAAGCAATAACCAGAGGCTCCGGGCTGGACTACAGAGCTCCGGTGCGCCGGAGGATAAACAGAATGTATTTGCAAACTACGGGCCAGCCCAGGATTCCGACCCCGCCATCCTCTCTCGCTCTCCTCCTGGAACTCTGGTGCCTGCGGGTCGGCTAGGCTCTGCCTCCGGCTGGGGCGTGAAGGGAAACGTTACCCGAACTGGAGCTGCAGCGTAGTCAAGTCCTAGCTTTGGGGTCCGGGGAGGCAGGGGCCGCATCCAGCACAAAACCTGCCCTCCACCCGCCCCCCAAGAGTCCCCAGTATCGGTCTCAACCGGCGCTTCAGAGCCGGCTCGGAGGTTTTCCGTTTCCCAAAGTGACTTCCGCCTCCGGGTTGGCCTTTGCCGGAAGCAGTATATGGATGACGTCAAAGTGTCGCGCTGCGAGTGATTCCGGAAGAAACAGGAGTGCGGCGTGAACATGGTGAGGAGAGTGGGAGAAGGAACTTTGTCAGAGCGCCTTGCAGACGTGTGGGAGCCCAGCTGTTGGCCAGATGTAGCCTCCGAGCTTCCCTTGTGTTTTGTTTTTGCTTCATTCTGGTCTCAGCTTGAAGGGACCTATGTTTTTAAGGATTGGGGGAGGAGGGTGGTGTTTGTGGAAAGGAGAAGCGGCAAGAAAAATAGAAGGGAACTTTAAAAGATGTGCTGTGTTTCCAACTCTTTTAACTCGAAAATTTCCGTCTCAAGGGGAAGCAAAAGAAAACAAGGAAATTTGCGACGATGAAGCGAATGCTCAGTCTCAGAGATGAGAGACTGTAAGTGGCCAGAATCAACTGGTTTCCGAAAGTGATCAGAGATACAGGAATCACGATGGGCTAAGTAGTAAAATTTGTTATTGTTGTTTTGCCTATTGCATGGCATTATAGTCACTCATTCTGGAGGGCAGGGAGGGGGGGTTTCGTTGTTGAAAAGCCGGTAGGGCCACACCATGCTTGCCTCCAGTTTCCAATTCCTGACACCCAAGTTTAAAAGGGAGGATGGGAAAACTCTAAGATAGTTCCATTTGTATAAATTATAAGAATTCAAAGCTTTGGAAGAAGAAACTAGAATGATATTATTTCCCATTATAAAAAACTAACCAGTTTCCCAGTTCCCCAGTAAAGGCTGGGCGAACTGTTTATTAACTGGCCTTTGTTGTGTTTGTGAGTCTTAGAACAAAAGAATGGTCGTGAAAGCCTTCACAATTATTATTCTCAGCTTCCGATGTGGATTATTATTGTATATCTTTAAGGAATGATGTCCCAGTGATAATTTCTTTGTGGTTCAAAAAAAAATTTTTTTTTTTTTTGGTTTTTACGAGACAGGATTTCTCTGTATTGTTTCGGAGGCTATCGGTCCAGCCCGACCTCGAACTCACAGAGATCCGCCTGCCTCTGCCTCCCGAGTGCTGGAATTAAAGGCGTGCGCCGCCACCGCCCGGCCAGGGTTCAATTTTATATGTTTGTTATGTCTCAAGCCTTTATAAAGAATGGGGGGGGAGTGTGACTGGAAGGACAGCTCAGCCATTAAAGGATAGGCTCACAACCAAAAATATAAGAATGTGGGTAAACTTCTCTCCTATACGTGGTGATCTGGATCTTGTTTTGTTTTTGTTATTTTGGTTTTTTTTTTGTTTGTTTTTTTTGTTTTTTTTTTTTTGCTTATTGAGACAGGCTGTCACTATGTAGTCTTGGCTAGCCTGGAACTTGCTATATAGACCAGACCTCAGACTCAGAACTCTGTCTGCCCCTGCTTCCCTGAATCTGTGAAGGCTACCATGTTCAGTTTGGGATATTCAGAAGATTAATATCAACCTCTTCATGGCCTCTTAAAAGTAGGTTTTTATTAGCATATATTTATTATACATAATAAGTTTCATTATGACATTTTTAAACCAGTATGTGTCTTTTGATGATAATAAACCCCCATTATTCTCTTGAAATTAGATAAGAGAAATACTAAGAAAAAAAGTTAATAGTATAATTGGAATTTGCCCATTAACTATTTTTTGAGTTTATTGACCTTATTGGTTAATTTTGATATTTTCAGGCTACTTCCTGCTCAGGATGCAGACAGAGGCAGAAGCAAGCAGACCTCTGAGTTCGAGGCAAGCCTGGTCTACAGAGGGAGTTTTAGAAAGTCAGGGCTGTTACACAGAGAAACCCTAAATCGAAAAATGTAAATAAATAGAAAAAGAGACATTAGAATAGAACTTGAGGTGAGAGCCTCAGACATACTAGTCCAGTGCTCTATCACCGAGTAACATCCCCATCAAGTTGAAACTTAGATGAAATTTTTTTTCCAGAGCTGAGGACTGACCCCAGGCTTGTGCTTGCTAGGCAAGTGCTCTACCACTGAGCTGAATCTTGAACCCCTCCAGATGAAATTTTAACTATATTTTTCCTCTTCTCTGAATTTACTTTTTTGCAGTAAAGAAAAGGATAGATTAAAACCTAAAAAGAAAGAAAAGAAAGATCCCAGTGCGCTGAAAGAAAGAGAAGTGTGAGTATTAAAAAACTTCAAGTTCTCCATTAAAACTAAGAGATCCTAAACCTGTTAAGAATCCAGGCTTTCCGTGAGCTGATTGATTTACTAATAAGTTATTTACCAGTAATTTTGGGACGTGTACAAATGAAAGTGGTTGGTTGGTTGGTTGGTTTTTTGTTTGTTTGTTTGTTTTTCAAGACAGGTTTTCTCTGTGTGTAGTTCTGGATCCTGTCCTGGAACTCGGTCTGTAGCCCAGGCTGGCCTTGAACTCACAGAGATCTGCCTGTCTCTGCCCCCCTCCCCAGAAAGCTGGGATTAAAGGTGGACACCACCCGGCATGAAAGTTGTATTAATGAGCATATAATACTGTCGAGGTTTTTGAATCCCATGGAGCAGTAAACTTTTCCCTAAAGGAAATAAATAATTGCCTCAGTGTATTTTCACAAAAGAGGGGCTTTATTGCCAAAAATTGGTAAGGTTATATATTCTGGATGAAGGTCATCCCTTTAAAATGAGTATATTTAACTTCACGAAAGTTTTCCCTCATTTTTCATATTTTGCTCTGGGTTCACAGAGGCGATGTTGTCACAGGTAGATACTGGTTCAGACACCAGTGTTTGAACATCATGGATTTTTAAATGAGCAACAAGCTATGCTATAATATGTAATCCCAGTGCTAGACAATCATTTACATTCCATACAACCTTTTAGGATATTGAGAATGGCAAACTTGCTGTAGCATTTAAGTAATCCTGATAGCTACATTTGTGTCTTTGTGCCCTGTGACTGTCCTCCAGATCAAGAGCTAGGTTTGGGATAATTGTGTTTTAAAGTGTGTCACGGCTTTTTAGTGGGCCTGAAATTAACATGCCGTTAACTTACTTTCTTTTTTGACGGGGGTAGTTGAGACAGGATTTTTCTGTATTGCTTTGAAGGTTGTCCCAGAACTCGCTCTGTAGACGAGGCTGGCCTCAAATTCATAGATATCTGCCTGCCTCTGCATCCCGAGTGTTGGAATTAAAGGTGTGAGCCACCAATGCCCAACCTAACTTTCTTTTTTAAAGATTTCTTTTTTTTCTTTCTTTTTTTAATTAGGTGTGGGTGTGTGTCTGTGTGTGGGCATGTGTATGTCTGTCTGTGGGCATGTGCACATGAGTTTGGGTGTCTGTGGAGGCTAGAGGCGGAGGATCTCCTAAAGCTGGAATTCAGCAGTTATGAACACCCAATGTGGGTACTACTGAATTTGGGTCCTCTACAAGAGTAGTAGTACATGCTTTTACCTGCTGAGCCTCTTCAGCCCCTTTTCCTGACTTTTTTTTTTTTTTTTTTTTTTTTTTTGGTTTTTTTCGAGACAGGGTTTCTCTGTGGCTTTGGAGGCTGTCCTGGAACTCGCTCTGTAGACCAGGCTGGCCTCGAACTCACAGAGATCCGCCTGCCTCTGCCTCCCGAGTGCTGGGATTATAGGCGTGCGCCACCAACGCCCAGCTTCCTGACTTCTTTTAAACTTATTTGCAATGAACAAGGGGAAAGGACAATTGCCTATAATGAACTTTGAAAAGCAGATACTTCATCTTTGGTTTCATTAACATCAAAATTATGAATATAGACTTTAGTTTGTGATCTTATTTTCTGTCTCTTTCCAGCCCCCAGCATCCTTCCTGCTTGTTCTTCCAGTACAATACACAGCTGGGTCCACCTTACCACATCCTTGTTGATACCAACTTTATCAACTTTTCCATTAAAGCCAAACTGGACTTAGTGCAGTCAATGATGGACTGTCTGTACGCCAAGTGTGAGTATCACACACTTATGTTTCTGTTGCATCTGCACAGAATAATCATATTTATCCAAATACATGAAAAGAGGGAAGTGAGGATTTACTGTATGAACTACTGACCGTTTAATTTTCAATAAATCCAGAAAAGGAAACTTAAACCATATCCAAGAGTACAGCTCCTAATAGTTAGGTATGTTATATTTTTTGGATTAGGGAGGTAGCTCAGTGGTTCAGTGAAGCACTTGTTAGCATCTGGGAAGCCCAGAATCCCAGCACTGCAAAACAACACTCAAACAACAACCTGGTGTCTCAACAAACAAACCAAAAAAGCCTGGTGGTGACCCTCACCTTTAATCCCAGCACTCAGCAGAAGCAGGCAATCTCTTAAATTCAGGACCAGCCTGGTCTACAAAGTGAGTTCCAGGACAGGAGGAACTACACAGAGAAACCCTGTCTTTTTTTTTTTTTTTTTTTTTGGTTTTTCGAGACAGGGTTTCTCTGTGGCTTTGGAGGCTGTCCTGGAACTCACTCTATAGACCAGGCTGGCCTGGAACTCACAGAGATCCGCCTGCCTCTGCCTCCCGAGTGCTGGGATTAAAGGCGTATGCCACCAACGCCCGGCTGAGAAACCCTATCTTGAAAAACAAAGCAAGATCTGTTGCATTTTGTGATTTGTAGGTTTTTATTCATAAGTTTCTTGTTCTGCTAAAGGGACAAATGGCATTCATGCTGGTTCTTTGCCATATAGAATAAATTGCTGGAATCAGGGAAATTTTGCACCTCCTTTTCAAGAAGATACTTCGGGCATACATGACTGATTTGTCTTATTAAGCCTCACGTATGCACTACGCTCTTTTTTTACAAATAGAAAGCTGGCAATGCTGCTAGGAGCAAGCCTGTTTGTTTAGATTTATTATTTTATGTGTATGAGTGTTTTCCATGTATCTAGGTGTTGGATTCCCCTACAACTAGAGTTAGATTGTTGTAATCCTAACTGCTGAGCCACCTCTGCAGTTCTGCCGTTTTGTTTTGTTTTACAAGACAGGGTTTCTCTGTATTGTTT